TGCTATGGCTACAATCCCCTCCATGCATCATCAACCAACCACCGGTCGTCAGCACACAGCCCCTCTCCCTCTCTGTGTCTAAAGTCCCCAGCAGCTCCATCTCTCCACGTCATCGTCTCTGCCTCCATCTCAGGCATCACTGCTTCTCTGGGTAGGGTCCCTCTCTTCGCTCTTCTCCCTTGATGGCCCCAGGGACCTCCGTTCCTAGCTAGGCTGAAAAGTTAATCACTCCCATCCTTGCAACAAAATGTCTACCTTTACATTTCCAACCCTCACAAACAGTCCTGATAACAATTATTCACTGTTGTATCACAAGAGACCCATCCGCATTTCATTTCATCAGCCCCGCCTAGACAGATTGCATACTACTCATTAGAGATTCTACCTTCCTTCACACCTTCTGGATCTAGGTTCCCTCTTGAAAGCTTGTAAGCCAGTCACTTCTTGCCTTTGTAGCCCCCCATTTTGGGTAGCCAGATAACCTTTACTTTTTAACATGTTAAATCTTTTTGCAGCAGATTTGCTTAAACAAGGAGGCCAGATGGTGCAGCAGTCTAAGTGTTATACTGCTAAACCATAGGTTAGTAGTTCAAACCCACCAGCCACTCCACAGGAGAAAACTGAGGGAGTGTGCTTCTTCAAAGATTACAGCCTACTCTGCCCTGTCAAGTCGTAATCTAATTGATGGCAGTGAGTTTGGTTTTGCATTTGCCCAGTGCAATACACTTGAATTTCTTGATTGCTGCTTTTGTGGACATTGATTGTGGATAAACTAAGGTACTTCATTTTCCTCAAATTCATTTTATTGGTGAGTTTATTAGTGACTGTCCATCTACAGGTCTGCTATCAAAAAGGAGGTGGAGTCACAAGATGTTGCCAGAACCTCAGTCTGTTAGGGGGACAAAGCATGAAGGAAGTCTGTTCCTAATTTGGGAAACACTGGTCTATGCCAGAGTTTCTGTGGACCCAGAGATGAAACAGTGTTCTCTAAGTGTTCATGGCCAGCATACCTGCCTTCTTATGGCCCATGCATTGTGTATTTTCAAACCAGGAAAATAACCAGAATGTGAAGGGCCTGTGTGTTATACCAACATTTCTCCAAATACCTAAGAAGTCAGGTATCTCTGAGTATCAGAGCGATAGAGTTATAATCTCTAACTAGAAATGTAACCAGCTCATCTTTGTCCTATATTAGGACTAAGAAGAGTATAAAGTCTACAGTAGATGTTTCCTATCTACTTTCAAAGTGTAATTGTAACAAAAAAGCCATCACCTTTAAAATGGATTCATCTCGGAAAATTTAAAAAATGTAAAAATCTCCATAACAACAACAACAAAAAAAAGCCAAGACAGCTAATCTGGAAAACCCTTCCTTTCATTCTCTCTAGACTGTGTGTGTGTGGGTACAGTATATTGCTTATTTCCCAAGCCAAGGGTATGGGCACAGTACCTTAAGATTGCTGATGTACTAGTCTGATTGCTATATGATTGGAGGCAGAATTGCCCCAGAAAATGTAAGACATGGTCACCATATTTCATTCTTGAAACAACTACTTGTTAAGGTTTTCGTTTTTAATTTAAAAGAGTACATTGTTGCACTCATAGTGATTCACACAACTCCTGGACAGGAAGGTCCAGAAACCCGCTGCAAGAACTCAGCAGCTCCACAAGAGAAAAGACCTGGTGATCTGCTTCTGTAAAGATTATTTAAAAAAAAAAAAAAAAAAAAGTCCACTGCAATCAAATTGATTCTGACTCATAGCAACCATCTATTGTGTTTCTGAGACGGTAAACCTTTGCGAGAGCAGAAAGCCTTTGCTATCTTCCACAGAGCTGCTGATCTTTGAACTGGTTTGAACTGCTGATCTTGTGGTTAGCAGCACAATGCCTAATGCACAGCATTATATAGGGTCACTATGAATTGGAAACGACAACAGACTACAACCACACTCCTTCATATGTTGTTGTTAGGTAACGTTGAGTTAGCTCCAACTCACAGCGACCATATGCACAATAGAATGAAAAACTGCCCAGTTTTGTGCCATCCTCACAATTATGATGCTGGAGCCCATTGCTCCTGCCACTGTGTCAATCCGTCTCTCTGGGGTCTTTCTCTTTTTCACTGACTCTCCACTTTACCAAGCATGATGTCCTTCTCCAGGAACTGGTCCCTCCTGATAATATGTCCAAAGTGTGAGGGATGATGAAGTCTTGCCATGTTGACATAGAGCATTCTGATGTATTTCTTCCAATACAGATTTGTTTGTTCTTTCTGGCAGTTCATGGTACTTTTAATATTCTTCTCCAACACCATAACTCAAATGTATCAGTTCTTTTATGGTCCTCCTTACTCATTGTCTAACTTTCACATGCATATGAGGCCATCGAAAATACCATGGGTTGGGTTAGGCACACCTTCAAGTTGGCATCTTTGCTCTTGAATACTTTAAAGAAGTCTCGTGCAGCAGAATTGCCTAATGCAATATGTTGTTTGATTTCTTGACTGTTGCTTCCATATATGTTGATCGTGGACCCAAGCAAAATGAAGTCTTTGACAACTTCAGTCTTTTCTCTATCTATCATGGCATTGGTCCAGTGGTGACAGTTTTTGTTTTCATTATATCAACATCTCAGATGTTGACCTATGTATGGAAAACACTTGTTGGCTATTTATAGTTAAGTGATTTATACTTAAACAGTGTTTTCCCATTAAAAGCCATGTCACAGGAGTAGGTACATGGATCAGGAGTAAGGAAACTTGACAGTCTAGTCCAGGTTGGCCTGTTACCAGCTGACTGGTCTTTCTGCGTCTCAGGTTTCTCATCTGTAAAGCAGGGGGGACATCCCTCTGTGCCTTAATGTTTACTCTGAAGAACAGTAGAGATAATGAATGTGCTACTCACTGTGTCTAACTGTGTCAAACGCTGTTAGGGCTTGGGAGTGGAGTGTCCAAACGTAAGGATATTGGTATTGCTCCATTTGCTGATTTATGTCAGCTTCCCAAACACCAGTAGAATGAAAATGATTAGATTAAAGTGATTGTTTTCAGAAGCAAGTACACTTGGAGTGGTGTGATTCCCACACACTCTAAAGAGGCACAACTGTGGTGTGAGTACAGTGCACCAACCACAGGAGAGCATCTTCCTGTCTGGAGCCGGAAGAGCATCTCTGGTTCCATGTGGCTGGTTCCGTGTGGCCTAGGAGTGGTCCTTTGACCAGTCAAGCACTGATGGTCTCTTCCCCAATTCGGTGGTTGGTGTCATTGTTGTGAAATGCTATTGAGTCTATTCCAACACATAGCAGCCCTGTATAGAGTTTCTGAGGAGCAGCTTCTGGGTTTGAACTGCTGACCAGCGCTGACCCTCCTGCACCTCATGAGAATGGTTAATAGCCCTCTATCATCTTGTGATAATGCTAACTAGTGATAATGGATTTATGGAGACTTCACCGGTAGAGTCCTCCATTTTTTTACCAAAAATAAATAACTTCAAAACTTTTAGATGGGTGAAAAGGCATAGAGAAATGAAATTGATAATTAAATCATGGCAAGCTTAAAGTATAATTATTATAGGGAAAGTCAAATAATAGTTATTACTCAACTGTAAAATAACTGTCATTCATAGAGTGACAAAAGACACTATTCACAGAGTACCTGACTTTAAATTCCCTGAGGCTATTTATAAATTCATATTTTATAACAAAATAGAAGTCCCATGTTTAAATAAATCACCTAATTATATAATGCCCTTGTTCTAGATGGCATTAATTAGTGATTTCTCCTGCTAGTAGTTTTATTGACTTCATTTATTAATAATCTGAAATATGTTTATTTGTACTTGGCCTGCGTTGCACAGCATTTTATCCTTCAGGTAGCAAAGTACAACGTGAACCTATTAATTTATCTGTAGCTAGTCCTGGAGTCCTGATGTGGTGCTGAGGGTTAATGCACTGGACTGTAAGGTCGGTTTGAACCGCAAGTCAGGTGGTTCAAGTACACCAGCCACTCCTCGGAAACCCTACACAGGGTCGCTGTGAGTTGAAACTGATAAAGAGTAACATGGTCTAAAATTGGAAATAAAAAATCCCAGCTTTGTTTTAGGTTTGGTTTATTTATTTTATTTTATTTTTATTTCATTTGTCAAAATAGAGCAGAAGACATTTTCATTATAACTTGGACAGAAAATAAATATACATCTGCCTAACAACATCAAGATTAAAGACCCTGGGAATATTAATGCCAAATTCTTAAATAAATGGACATCTGGTGGTAGTAATAGTGTGCTGTAGAGTCGGTTCCAACTCACAGCGAACCCTGTACAGGGTGCCCGAGGCTATAAATCTTTACAGGAGCAGAAAGCCTCATCTTTCTCCCTCAGAACGGCTGGTAGTTTTGAACTGCCAACCTTGAGGCTAGCAGCCTGACTCATAACCGCTACGCTACCAGAGCTCCTTAAATGGACATCTAAGTTCCATTAAAAATGAAGCAAAAACTCTGGCAGAATTTATTATACAATTTCAGCAGTTAAGTCATAAACTCTTAACTTACCTGTTTTCATATTAACAAAAAATGACCTTCTTTCCATTAGAAATTTGGAAGAAAAACAAGATACCTTTGTATTTCATAGAAGAACGTTGGAAAATTGTAAGATATTTAAGCAATGTCAAAAAGTGTTGTTTTTTCTGTATTAAATATTTAAGCATGATAGGGGTGAGCACTCAAGCATTCCTCCTTGCTTTTACAGACATAGTGTAAGTCCACCTCTTCAGTCCTCAGCCCTGTGTTTGGAAGATAACAGCTAAAGAAAAAAAATGTTTTTAAGTTAGGAAAAGTTACATGAAATAATTGGAAATTTAGTTAATGCTGTATCTCTTTGCTAAGAACAGTCTGTTTCCTTCTTGACCCGTGTTCTACACTTTTTAAAAACATCCTCCATCTTTAAGATCCCTTTCTTTACTGAACCAAATTGTGATTCTTAATGTCACTTTTCTCTTGATTCTAGAGCTTCTTTGAAGGGCAGTCTGCACCATGGGACTCTGCTAAGAAAGATGAGAACAGAATGAAGAACAGATATGGGAATATCATTGCATGTAAGTGTTGGCTATGTAATGGTGCTGTTATATGACTTTCTCTTCACATTTGATACGATTGACCACCAGCCTCATGCAGTGAGAATTTACAGTGCAATTACTGCCTTCAGAATCCTGCTAGAATGCCTCAGACTAAAGAAAGGAAAAAAACTATCTGGATGCTCCCCACTGTATCAGTGTCCTCTTGCTGTGGGGCTAGCTTTACTAAGATATGAGGTTCAGGTAACATAGGTAATGTTGAAATGCTGAGAAAGAAAATGCATTTTAGAATTGATAAACGTAACAGTCCTAATGTTCCCCAGCTGCTGCAGGAGAATAAATAGAAATAATGATGCACAGCATGCCTTCATGCAAGGAGCTCGAGTTCTCTGCAAACATTAAGTCATTAATCCTCCAGACACTTGGGTTAGGTAGGTCAGTAATAGCCCCATTTTAAGGACAGGAAACTGAAACTCAGAAGTTAAATGATACTCCCCGTATCACAACACTCATTAGCAAAAGAGCTAGGATTATATATCAGCAGCTCCCAGTTCTTGTGAAATGGAATGTTACCAATCCATAATGCCTTGGACCGTTTTTAAATCTAGCCAAAGCTCATTAATGTCCTATAATGATGCTGAGATGCATGGTAGATTGATGAGCCTGGTTCTCCCAGGGCTCAAACCATCCGTCCTGCATTAAACTGCTGTAAGTCATACAAGACTACAGTACAGTATGAATAGCCACATTATAGTAGCCTCATCGAATCAATGTTATTGATCAAGATAGGCCAAGTCAAACCAAAACAAATAAATAAGATGAGACTTGGCCTAGAGATCATCTGGCTCACCATGTCGTATTATCTATAAGAGAAGCCACTTGAAAGGTGTAGATATTCTAGGGAACAATGCATTAGGCTTATTGATTGTAAAAGTGCAGTTATATGTTATTTGCCCTAGTTACCATTTCTTACTATGACAGTACTGATTCTAAAGCAGCCCTGCAGCTGCTCTGGCCCATACAATAGCCACTCACATGAGGCTGCTGAGCAATTGAAATGTAGCTAGTAGAACTAAGGAAATAAGTTTTTCAATTTTTAAAAAATTTTCTTTATTTTAAATCTAAACACTACATGAGACAAATGACTATCATAGTGAAGAGCACAGTTCTACACTGTGTTTTATTGTAAAAAGAAACAAAGAGTGGGAGGCCATTTCATGTAATATGAAACATCCCAGCCAAGTATGCCCTGTTGTCTCTTTCTGGTTGTTACGTGCTGTTGAGTAGGTTCTGACCCATAGCGACCCTGTATAGGGTTTCTGAGGAGTGGCTGGTGCACTTGAACTCCCAACCTTGCAGTTCAAACCAACTTTGCAGACCAGCGTATGAACCCACAGCACCACACCAGGACTCTTGCTCTGTTGTCTCTTTGGCCACTAGTAAAGCTAATCCACTGGTTTTAGGTGACAGATACCAGCTCCCACTGCAGTTCTGTGTGATGGCACAGCGCTATGCTGGATACATACAGGGCATTGCAGAAGCTCAGGAAAGAAAAACATCATTTCTGCCCAGAGTGGTCATGGGAAGAACAGGGTGGCCTGTGTCCGCCTTACCACATTCCTTCACATTCTCTTCGAGCCCACAGAAGGTTGGCATTTTGCAAGATTCCATTGTCTCCTTTCATGTGTTCTTCAGCTCACCAGCAAACTTGGAGGGGATTATGGAGAGTAAAATGGGAATTCACAATAGTCTTGGGCTTCCCTTCATATACAAAATTAAACAGGATGTGGGTAAACCTTGTCCTAAGCCATTCTAATGTCAGGGCTGACCTTCTCTTGGTCAGCCAGAAGGTGGCTGCCTAGGAGTATGGTTTTAGTAGTACTGAGAGATCCAACTGACCCGTGTCCTTTAAAACCCACTCTTCTCAGTACATTGTTGAATACCTGCACCTAGCAGACACATGAAAAATATTTTGGAATTAACAAAAATAATAATAAAAGTAAACATCTACTGAGGACTTACTATGTGCTAGACACCATTCTAAACATTTTACATATATGAACTCCTTCATTCCTCATAAAATCACCATGAAATGGCTAATGTTATTAGACCAGTTTAACAGATGACGAAAATGAGCACAAAAAGAATAAAAGGGTAGGACTCAAACCCAGTTGCAGTTTTTATAAAGACTGTCTGAAGGTTAGTTGGAAAGTTGGTCCTTAACATATTGCTAACTTGTCCCTGGTGTCACCATTAGCAGATCAGTGTCCAAGAAAAGTGGCAGCTTAAGGAGCCATTAACAACTGCAACAAAAGGAGCCATTGTCCCTCCTTTACCTCCCCAGGCCACCACAATGTACATACAAATGAGGTAAATGAATACGCAGTTCAAAGGGAGCTTCAAAGCAAACCATCTGGCCCCAGGCTGACCCCCAGGCCTCCCTTAGGGGAATTCTGGAGCTGCTTTTCTAAAGCCTTCCTTCCACAGGAGTTCTTTCTGGGTAGCTTCATGTTGTTGCCTAAGAGGAGGAGTAGAAATAGGGTCTAATTTACTTACTAAAGGCTTAACCAACCTAGGGTCTTCGGCACAGAATGGGTGCAGAGGAAAACAGGAAGTTGGTTGTCATTTGAAGAATGGAATTGGTATGGGGAAAGGCTGTGGCACTGTGGGGTAATAAGTCAAACTGCAAGGTCGGCGGTTCAAGCTCACCAGCTGCTCCTTGGAAACCCAATACAGGGTCACTATGGATCGGAATTAACTGGATGGCACTTAACAACAACAACAACAACAAAGGCAGTAGTAGCCTGAGGAGGGCAGGGTAGAGGCTAGTGTGTTTGGGAAGCAGTATATACAATTCATTTGTAAAGTCACTTAACAACAACAATCCTATTTCCCAAGGAACCCTGGTAGCTTAAAGGGCTATGAGCTTGATTGCTAACGTCAAGGTCAGCAGTTCAAATCTACCAGTCTATCCATGGTAGAAAGATGAGGCTTTCTGCAGAAACCATATACAGGGTCGCCATGAATAGGAACCAACACAGTGGCACACAACCACTACCACCATGCTATTTCCCAGAGTCCTGGTATGGCATTGTATAAGCACTATACTGTTAAGCACAAGGTCAGCAGTTCAAACCCCCAGAAGCTGCTCTTGGAAACTCTATACAGGGTCACTAAACTTGACAGCACACAGAAACAACAACAACAACCTATTTCCTAACCGTATTGCAATAAAAATTTATCATGTATGTTTATGAAGAAATTTCCAAACCATAATCTGATACAAACATATTTTTATATAACAAATGCTGTCCTCATTTTCAAGCTGATATGAGGGGAGATAAAGTCACTTAAGTAGGCAGCTGTCCTTTGATGATATAAAAATGATTCTTGACTAATTACTTAGGAACTTCCAGAGGAGCACGAGCTGGCACTGGCCCTAAATGGCTTGCTCCCTCTCTGTGGGAGATTTGCAGACTTGCTGCGACCTTACAAGTGGGTGCTCCGTTTTACACTGAGGCTTATCTGGCCTCCAGAGACACTGCCACCTGCTCTCTGCTTGACCCATTCGGATATTGGTGTACAGCTATTTTCCTCAGAAATATTGGATGCCGATTTTCCATTTATTTCTCCTCGCTGAGAGTGTGTGCTTAAATAGACCCACTAATCCATTCCACCATTCAACAGATGTGCATTGAGCACCTAGACCTTTCCTAGAATCAATGGGTAAGTGGCGCTTTTATAGATTGATGGCTAAATGTAAAATGACACTGCCCCAGCAGTTATGGTCATGACAGGGTTTGGTGAAAATGTTCTGTGAAGGACCACATAATAAACACGTCAAACTTCACTGGCCAGCCAGTTTTGCTTCAGCTTCTCAGCTGTGCTGTTATACCACAAAACCAAATGTGTTTATTGCTAGTGGCCCTTGAGTCAGTTCCACCTCATACTACATAGAGTTTTCAAGGCCATCTTTTAGAAGGAAACATATGCAAGCATGCCCTCCAAGCCATTTCTGGGTGTGTTTTGACTAGTAGTGGTATGCTGTGGAGTCAGTTCTGACTCATAACAACTACATAAGCGTTGCCAAGGCTGTAAATCTTTACAGAAGCAGAAAGCCCCATTTTTCTCCAGCGGAACAGCTGGTAGTTTCAAACTCCTGACCTTGAGGTTAGCAGCCCGACTTGTAACTACTACATACTACCAGAGTGGACTAGTGGGCATTACTATGCTCCAATAAAACTTTACTTTCAAAAACAGGCAACAGACTGACTTGGGTCAGGGGCTATAGTTTGCTGACTCTTGGTTTGGTGGAGAACAGTTCCCACAAGGAGAACTTGTCACTTCTATCATCAAGGGTACTTTTTTGTCACCACCAAAGTCACCTTCAGTCATCAAGACCCTGCAATTAGGACAAATTATTTAATCAATCAGTATGTATGTACTGAATGTAGTCTGCTTCTAGCACAACATTGTAAGAAGGGGAAAAAATCTAAATCTATCTCATATCCTTATAGGTTTATAATTTATGAGTTAGATCAGACTAAGACAGACATGAAATAATAGATGTGAAGTCTACAAATAAGTGAAAAATGTATGGTAGAGGCAGTGTTGTTGACATTGTTGTTGTTGTTGTTAAGTGCCATTGAGTTGGTTCCGACCAATAGTGATCCTGTATATGGTTTCCAAGGAGCAGCTGGTGAACTTGAACCACTGACCTTAGGTTCAAACCAGCATTGCAGTCCAGCTCATTAACCTGCAATGCTACATGTTGACATGGTGAAGAAGGGTAAATGTGTGGGGGTGGGGTGGAGTGGGGGGGTGGACTAATTAAGATAGTTCTTTTGGTCAAAATACAATGAGATGTGGGTTGGAATGATGAGATCTTGGGTAAGTAATGTTGTTATTGTGCTGACTCATTTCTGACTCATTAAGTTAAACTTCTTTAGCTTAGCAGACTCAATTGTTATGTGTCGTGGGGTCGGTTCCGACTCATAGCGACCCTGTACAGGGTTTCCGAG